GCAAGAGAGGCAGTTTGCAGGGTCAGGACCAGAAGAACTAAGGCCTAAACACAATATGGGGTGCATGCACAGCTTCTGCAACAAGCAACCTAACAAGTAACTTGAACTATTGGGATATGAGTGACACTTGCTGATGCCTGGGAGAGCATAAAAGAGAACGCTGGTTAAAGTATGTAGAGCAGGTGTGGGCAGTTGTGTCCCTCCTGGAAAACTAAAAGTCCCATCATGCCTCTGGGAGTAATGGTTGTAATGCCTCATGGGACATGTAGTTCCACAACAGCTCTAGGACCACAGTTGCCCATCCCTGATGTAGACACTCCAGAAAAATCTGGAATGCAGAAGGAGCTAGAGAGCAGGGTTCCCAAGAAGTGCACTATAGCAGAAAGAAACGTATCAGGATAAGTCAACAAGAAACAATCATCAGCTATAAATTCAACACCTAGTCACACCCCAGATGGCCATTCAGAGTATAGGCAACTTCTGACCTTGTGGCTGGATAATACAGGGAAAGTAGGTTCATGAAAGTTACATAACATCTGCATTACATAATACCTTTGGATACACAGTAGGTTAGCTAGCTAAGTGCACTATTTGCTTAACCACTTGCCTACCGGGCACTTATACCCCCTTCCTTACCAGGCCAATTTTCAGCTTTCAGCGCTGCCGCACTTTGATTGACAATTGCGCGGTCATGCAACATTGTACCCATATGAAATTTTGATAATTTTTTTCTCACAAATAGAGCTTTCTTTTGGTGGTATTTAATCGCCACTGGGCGCTTTACGTTTTGCGCTATAAATTAAAAAAAGTGCAAAAAATTTGAAAAAAAAAGTTTATTTGTTTCTTTTATAAAATTTTTCAAACAGGTATTTTTTCTCCTTCACTGATTTGCGTTGATGAGGCGGCACTGATGGGCACTGATAGGCGGCACTGATGGGCACTGATAGGCAGCACTAAAGGGCACTGATAGGCAGTACTAATGAGGTGGCACGGATAGGCGCCACTGATAGACAGCACTAATTAGGGGTCACGGATAGGCGGCACTGATATGCAGCACTGATAGGCGGCACTGATAGGTGACACTGATGATGGGTACTGATAGACGGCACTGACTGGCATCACTTCTGGGCACTGACTGGCGGCACTGACTGGCACAACCCCTGGGCACTGACTGGTGGCACTGACTGGCAGCACTGCTGGGCTGCACTGGTGGGTGGCACTGGTGGCACTGGTGGGCAGCACAGGTGGGTGGCACTGGTGGGCACAGGTGGGTGGTACTGGTGGGCACAGGTGGGTGGGCACAGGTGGGTGGCACTGCTGGGCACATGTAGGTGGCACTTCTGGGCACAGGTAGGTGGCACTGCAGAGTGGCACAGGTGGGGGTACTGCTGGGCACAGGTGGGGGCACTGCTGGGCACAGGTGGGGGCACTGCTGGGAACGGGTGGGCGGGGGCTAGTGGGCGCACCGCTGGGCGGAACTTGCGGGTGTCACTGCTGGGCACCGATCATCAGGGCACTGATCATCAGTGCCCTGATGATCAGTGCCGATCCCCGCTCTGACAACTGCCGGTTCTCGGCAGTACTTTCCTCACGATCTGACAGCGTGAGGAAAGTGCAGCCGAGAACCGGCACTTGCATTTCCCTGTGATCAGCATGTCATTGGACACCGCTGATCACGTGGTAAAAGGCCGGTGGGATCGGCCTTTCACCACATCACGTGATCAGCTGTGTCCGTAGGACACAGCGATCACGGAGATCGCCGGGTGATCGCGCCACCCTGGGCGCGCACATATGACGTCCACTCAGAACTGGCCGGCCGCGGTGAAGCCGTCATTCGGCTATGCGCGGTCGGCAAGAGGTTAAAGAGACACTGTCTTCTGAATGATAGTGTCTTTGAAAGAGGCCACCATGAATTTGTGATGCTCCTCTTGCCAGCACTCCTTTGGTTTTCCTGCCTCCACCACATCTGGTGACAATTCCTGGTGCTTCCCGGTAAGTGAGAGCATATGATCTTGCATTTATTAGTGCTAAGGTTTAGCAGCCAATCATTAGATCTGAGCACTGCCACATGACAGTGGAAGTTTCGTAACCGCTTCCCTTAGCACCTAACATCATCCAGCCCTAGGGCAATAAAAAAGTACTCTCTTTTTTTCGCCATGAATTGAAAAATGTTGCTCCGGGGTTTCATTGTGTGAACCAAGCCTAGGACATGGTTTTGGTCTTTGTCAACCAATAACATCGTGGGAGCGTCATAATTTTAAAGTAGGACTATAGGCAAGACTTTTTTTATTTTTCCTTTTGGACAGAGTAAGGGAGGGTTTGGCTCTCCCATAGCCCAGCAGGAAGTGACAGGAGGAAATTCCAGCAAATTAAGGAAATCCCTTGGGGACCCCCAGGTCACCAGAATTGGTTTCCCCATGGGAAGATTTCTTTTCTGTTACCTTTCTGGGGTCAACCCAAAATTTTGGTTTTTCTTTACTTTCATTTTAAAAGATAATGATAAACAGGACAAATAGAGAGGGTGAATCTCCTTAACAGGGGCACAGACAGCTCTATAAACTGACAGGGGTTCTAATCCCTTGCCGCTCTATCAAAAACTAAAAAGAAAAAGATTTTGCCATTAGTTAGTCCAAAGGAGTTCTATAACCGTTTTACACTTTCTGTTTTATACCATCAGCATTGTAATAACAATACAAACAATAGTTATTTTTGATAATTCAATATAAGCTTACTTGATAAACCTTTTTATGGGTTCTGCCTGTCTGCTGGCCATTACTTTCCGCAACTTCCTGGATTCCCTGCATGCTTTACAGCTTCTTCTCTGCTGCTTCCTTTCAATTTCTAAGGACTACAGATCCCATGGTACCTTGCCTGCAAGCAGTGATTCATGTACTGACTCTGCCTCCTGATACTCCTACTCTCAGCATCTCTGTAGCTCAGAAGGCAGATTCTAGTAAATGTGTGACACTGCATTGCCTATTCACATAGCATAGTGAATATATGTCACAGAATTCAAGGAAGTAAATGTGTCCGGATCTTGACAGATCAGTCAGATTAATAGGAGTAAGCTAGAAATAATTAAAATGCAAGGTGTGTATTTATATAAAATGTATCAAATTACACAATACCGCATTTGGCCAATTATGGTGCCAAGTATTGTTGGAATCTCTTATACTACTTAGTGCTGTTTAGTGGCCAAATGTGCTTTTTTTTTTTTTTTTTTTTTTTTAACTATGAAAAACATTCATCTACCACAGGAAATAATAACATTTGTGTTTTTGCCTCATTCACACAGAAAAAATATATGTACACTTTTACTGGGTGCATTGCTATGCAAATGTTTCATAAATACAGTCCAAACCGAGAGCCCCTGTCTGGTAGACTTGCAGTGAGATAAAATGTTTAACAAAGCACCAATAAGCATAGCCTAAATTAGTATCAAATATAGTAGTTTTCCCTTTACATATACTGTATGATTTCAATCATAGATGTAAAAAGAACTTTATAAAACAAAGACAATGACTGATTTTTTTGCTTATATGGAATTCTCCTCCTTCACATATAGATCTAGAAAACATTCACTAGATTACATTGCTCCTTTAACAAAACAGAATGCATATTGTAAAGTAGAACTCTTAAAGTAGACATTTGAGTTAATGCTACTAATTTGTTTGTACCAGTGAACATGGACGATATGTAAGTAATTGCCGGAATAATTTAGAAAAAAAGTTTGAGCAGATTTATTTTTATGGTATTAACAGTACACCAGAATAGTGTATGAACAGTTTTGGAGCTTAATTATATCTTGTGATTTGTTATGGTGTGAAATGCAGTGGGATATAATGAATAATTAACCGTGAGAGACAGAGTGTGAAAATGATCCTGGTAGGCTTGTAACTTGTTTTAAAGCCGATAATGTTTCCATAAGGCTTGTAATAAAACTGTCTTACTCATTGTATTACAACACTTGTAACTACTGTTATTAGATTATCACTCTTTTCCCTGACTTATGCCTAACAATATATGCTTCATATTTAAATGAAGACTGTGCTTGAAATTATAAAGTTGTGCTGCTGCTTTAAAGTGATTGTAAAGGTATTTTTTTAAAATAGTAAACATGTTCTATGGGGGTTCTTTACTGTCAGAGCGGTAAGGATGTGGAACTCCCTTCCACAATCAGTGGTGTTTGTGGGAAGTGTCGATAGCTTCAAAATACTCTTAGATGGGCATCTTAGCAAATGCAATGTCCAGGGATATGGGAAATGGCAGAGACATGAACACATCCCCATAAATCCACACAGGTTAAATTGGATGGACTGATGTCTTCATTCAACCTTACCAACTATGTAACTATGTACATGCCTGCAAGGGTATTGCACAGAGCGGCCCTGATCTTCCTCTTCCAGGGTCCCCCCGCCAGCACTGTCCGCTCCTCCTATTCTTTGAGTGCCACTATACACACCATTTGCTAGTAGAGCACTCGTACAGATGCGCTTCCAAGCCATGCTGAGTGTTTTCATAGACGCACACAGCACGGCTTGGCCCTACTCCCCCACACACTTTTTCCTCACAGGATTTGACTGTGGGAGCCACACAGTTATACTCACCTAGGTGGATGCAGCAACATTCTGATGCTGCATCTGTCCCCCTCCACCTGTAAGACCGAGAACTGAACAATCAAAAACTGCTGATCGCTCAGTTCTCGGTCTTTAGAGAGCCAGTGACTGTCAGTTGTTTTGACCCTCCACTCACTTGAAACCAGTATGCAAATCAGGAGTTCTGACTTGATTTGTTGCTTATGTGTTCCAGCTCATTGGATGACAGCCAAGTACCTAGGAATTTTAGAAAGACAAAGATGGTCTACATATAACTTACCTGACAGATTTCCTTTAATTACATCCTAACGTTTGGAACCTTTTTTTTTTTTGCTGCTGTTTTTTTTCAGATCATGTTGATGTCCATTTGAATATAAATGCATTTTTTTTTTTTTATCTTTTCAGGGCTGCTATGAACTCGTCACTAACTTCATGGAAACTAACATGGGAATCATTGCTGGGGTGGCTTTTGGAATTGCATTCTCACAGGTATAGACTTCAGTGCCTGAAGCTCTGAGATGTCACTTTCTGCTCTACTTTTTCTTTGCAAATAAAATGTTTTGCAAGTAGCTGAAAGTTTTATGTGTAGACATGACCACAGTAAAAGACAGCTGAATTTGCGGGACTGCTTAAATGTAATGGATTGTTTTGGGTTTTTTTTCCATTTAAAACCCATATATGGCTGCAAAAGGTCATAAGGATTCAACAAGGCTATGTGGCTTGATGGAGTGCACACCCATCGTGGAGAAGGAGCAGTACAAACGTGCCTTGTTGAATGTGCAGGAACCCAGGATAATTAGGTCTTCTCCCTGCTTGCACTCTGACAGGAGTCACCTGTGTTTTTTTATCTTCTTTACATTGATACCAAAGTGTACAGCAAAGAACTTATTAGTGTCATATAGTCCTCTTGTCCAGCACTTGCATTAGTGTCTGTGCCCAGGGAAAGAGCTAAATTAATTTCAGCAGAAAACAAACGCATTGACTTCTGTACTCCCCTCCGAAGACTATCATAAAATCTGAGAAAAACCCAGACTAGCACATATCTATTCTGAATCTGTTAGGACCTACAATCTTTGTAATTCTATGATCACACTTTAATACTATCAAATATAATGCATAAGTATTCAATACATTTTTTCTGTCACCTTTCTATAGCTAGAGAACATGTTTGTATTTGCATACATTTTGCTACATATTACATCCCTATGATGCTATCACTTTAATACATTTAAAGATAAATTACAGTCAGATATGAAAAAAAAAACAAAAATAAAACCAAAAACAATAAAAAACACAAATTGTTGCATTAGTACTTTAAAGCCCGGGTGGTTCCTCCGCTTTAAAGACCTCCAAAACTTGAAGAAAACTCCCATCCGATATTCAAATATAGAATAAAGACCAAAAACAACTGATGGTACAGTAATTCATAAACTTTTTGGCAGATTTATTACAAGATTCACATACATCAAGAATTTAAAATAACCAGTATTGAATTGAAATTGTTTCAAACTAAAAACATGGCCACCGCCCCTCCAAAACGCGGTGACGTCACACGCCGAAGCTTCACCCAACACGTTTCATCAGAAAGATGTCAGGGGCGTGACGTCACACCTTTACATCTGTAAGGGTTTGATCTTTATAAATCAGACCATAGGTTTGTTTTATTTGCTTTATACGTAATTATTTTTAATAAACCTTATTTAATTTGGTCCTTTTCCCCTTTCCGTATGGCAATAAATATAATGTTCACCGCTGATTTATGCTCCAAGGTGTGGGCGGGCCTCTTTTGCGGTCCGTTCCGCTCTTCCTTCCTGCTTCGGGTATGCCTTCCTCTCTGTGGAACTCATCCCGATTAATGGAGTGTCCCTCCGAGTCCTATATATAGATGGCGGTGCGTCCCGCTGGCCATGCCCCTGATGACATCTTTCTGATGATGAAACGCGTTGGGTGGAGCCTCGGCGTGTGACATCACCATGTTCTGGAGGGACAGTAGCCATGTTTTTGGTTTGAAACCATTTCAATTCAATGCTGTTTATTTTAAATTCTTGATGTACGTGGATCTTGTAATAAATCTGCCAAAACTTTCATGAAATACTGCACCAGGAGTTGTTTTGTTCTTTATTCTATATTTAAATATCGGATGGGAGTTTCTTCAAGTTTTGGAGGTCTTTAAAGTGGAGGAACCACCCTATATCTGGGAGAGGATTTCTATTGAAGATTACCTGCCATACTGATTCCTTATTACACTGTGCCTATTGACCAGTATTATACGGTCAAAGTGTCCGGTTAGGGGCTAATTTTTTTCGGGTGTATGGTGACAGCTCATGAGATCAGAATCTTTTCTTGCAATTTGTTTCATTCATTTGAGGACTCATATAGACTTTTATTTCTGACATTTGTATGCTTTTTAATTAGCATTGCATTTTTTCTATTTACATTTGGAATATCGCCTTGCATGTGCAAGCTGCTTTTTTGTTTTTGCTGTATTTTTTATTTTGGAGTGTGGTTACATCTAAGCGCAGGTATTGTGTTTTTATATATATTGCTGACTTCCTTCAAAGGCTATGTGTATCAGTGTTTAGAATATAGCCGTCTTCCAAATTTCAAAATGAATAGAAAAGAATAGAAAATACAGGAAAATAATAGAATAGAATAAAAAATTAATAGATTTGAATAGAATAGAACAAAACAGAATATAGCTGTCTTCCAAAACTCAAATTTCAAAAAGAATATAATAAAACAGAGTAGCATAGAAAAGAATACAGTAAAACAGAAAATAATAGCATAGAATATAAAATAAAACAGAACAGAATAGAAAATAAAATACTAGAATAAAATTAAACAGAATAGAAAATACAGGAATAGAAAATAAAAGAATAGAAAAAAAATGGAATAGATTATAATAGAAAGAATATAGCCGTCCTCTCAAATTTGATTTATGAAAAGAATAGAATGAAATAGAATAGAAAATAAAGAAATAGAAATGAAAATAAAAGAATAGAATAGAACCATTTTCTGGAATTCGAATAGAATAGAACCAGCTATTATGCACAATGAATTTGGTTTGATTCAGTATTTTCAATTCGAATTCAATTTTAATACTTCAAATTCATTTGGAAAATTTTAATGTGGGCGAAAACGAATAAACGAAGCTAAACAAAACAAATTTAGTTATGTATGCAACGAAACTTAACAAATCAGTCTGAAACTAAAACAAATGTTTGCGTTCTGCACATATCTAACTTGCACTTGCATTGCAGTTTAGAGTATTTAGGGTTATAATTACACAACCAACATATTTTGTAGTACCCTTTCAGTTTCTGCCCCTAAAATAAAGTCCTTTAGTTCCTGGACAACGCCTTTTTATAACTCGTGGAGGTCATGGTTGGGTTCACCCTTTTCTAGTGCATTAACACATGCATCTAGCATGGAATGTGTTACGCATTAACGTACATTGCATTAAGGTAGACTGCTTACATTGAATGGCCTCCCAGTACACCCCAGCACAAAACTTTATCCTTTTTTGGGAAGGCAGAGTATTATTTATTTGTTACAGGCACTTGTATATAGCTCCGTCAATTTATGAAGCACTTTACATATATATTGTACATTCACATCAGTCCCTACTCTCAAGGAGCTTACAGTCTAAGGTTCCTAACTCACATTCATACATACACATACTAGGGCCAATTTAGACAGGAGCCAATTAACCTACCCACATGTCTTTGGAATGTGGGAGAAAACCCACGTAGAAACGGGGAGAACATGCAAACTCTGTGCAGTGGTTGAGATTATAACCAATGCCCCTAGTGCTGCAAGACAGAAGTGCTAACCACTTAGCCACTGCCCAGTATGGGAAAATATGGTATTGCCTTGTCGTGCAGGAGAGTTAAGGTGCTGTTTGAAATGAATGACACCCTAGTGCAGTGCACCAACACGTGTAGCATGCTTTATCACAATGCAGTACTGTGATACTGACCTGAAAATGTTACTTTCTCAAATTAGTGTGAACTATTGGAATTTTGTTAAACAACAATTGTAATATGTATCTTCCTTCCTTGCATAGAGTCATCCTTAAACAATTTCTGCTGAGAATATACAAAGATAGATGAGAAATTGTGCCCTATGACAGAGCAAGCCCAGAGTTTTCAGCTTCTTAGATACAAATTAAATTATGTTAGGCCTTACTTTGTTCTAACCGAGTAAACTGAATTGTAGTTCAGTAACCACTGGAAACATATTTTTTGCCTATTATTTTTCCCATAAGTCTAGATGAGGGTTAAAGACATGATTTTTGTGGGCTATAATGAAAAAACAATTTATAACACAAAGTAGAGGAAAAAAGTGCCTGCCATCCTGCTGCTGTGGATTAATGGTAAATCTGGTAAACTACACCCACCATAGTACTTATATGCTAGTTTTGTACCTCCTTGCTGTGTCTGGCTATGTGATTACCCTGCAAGCGTTTAGGAAATCAAGGGAAAATATTGACTTGAATTAGGAAATGTGTTTGGTCATGAAGGCAGTATTGATCCTTGGACAGCTGGGGGACAGAACCTATGATCTCTAGTGTCCACATTGTCCATCACTAGGATGGAAGACAAACATTGTCCTCTTCCCTAATTGTTTAACAGACTTTTAATAGACTGCTGAGATGTTATTTATAGATAAGATCTATATGAGCTTCTGTTGTCATCTTTCTTCTACCAACATATTAGGCAGTGTTTGACAGTTCACAATTAATCTAAGGTTACAAACAGTGTGGGCCACATTTTTTTTTCTTTACAGTGAATTATGTTTTTTGCATACTTATTATTTTAATATTAAGGAAATTGTAGCATAAAAAACACATTTTTTGTAGGTTTTTTTTTTTTGTAGGTTTTTTTTTTTTTTAATTTCCAGCAAGCAGACGGGGCTTAAGGCACATTCTCACATTTGTCACAATAGTACTTGCCTGTAAAGAGCCTGCTGTTTACAGAATTCAGTAGCTCAAACTTAAATTGATATGCACAGCTGAACAAGAGGGATGATTCATTCACTTCTCTTCCCCACTCTCCACCTGTTCTGTACAGACAGCTGTGTACCAATCTTCAATCAGAAAGAGTGTTTCAAGGAAAACAGATTTTTGGCTGTGCTTCCTTTTTAGACAATCAATAATACTCAGTAGTTTTGGGGCATCGGATTCCACAGCTGTGGCTTACGTCAACCATCAGGGAGGAAAAAGTCTCATGGCTCCAAGTTGCTCTTTTGACTCTGTGGGATCAGTTCAACCTGATCTTTCCTCTTTCATCTTTCCTCCACTAAAAGTCCTTCCTTGTCTGCTCTGTAGAATCAAGGTGGAGAACATTCTGGTGATTGCATTGAATTGGACCAGGCAGATGTGATACTTTCACCTCATCAGACTCCTGTGGACTTTCCCATATTGCCCCAGATCATCTGTCCCAAGCATCGGTTTACCACCATGCTTCATGGTTGTTGGCTTTTATGGCCTGGCTGTTGAAGCAAAGGTCATAAAAGACATGGGCATACCTGATTGTGTTGCTCCCTACACTTCTCAAAACTAGGAAACCAACTTCTGTGTCATCATCTCTGCAAGGCGAGTTTCTGAGTTGGCAGCCATAACCTGTAAAGAACTATTTCTTGAAACCTCGGGCCTCCTTTCTCCCAAAGGTGGTTTGTTCTTTCACTTTAACCAGGACATGGTTTTTACCATCTGTCTGTCCTGTTTCCAAGATATCCCAAGGAGACCATTGTCTGGATGTGTCTATCTCTCAACAGTTTCTTTTAGATGGACCGACTCTCTTTTCATCATTCCTGAGGGTCCCTTTAAAGGACAACCTGCTTCTTGTTCCACCTTCTTAAGGTGGATTCATCAGCTCTTCATTCAAGCCTATGGACTCAAGGAGAGTGTTAGTCCCTTTCCTGTTAATACACACCCACTAGATCAGTTAGTGCTTTAGGGGCTTTTTTTCAGACTTCAGGCTTCTGTTTCCTAAGCTGGACAGCTGATCAAAAAAATAAAAAAAAAACATTCCCTATCCACACATTTATAGTGGATGGAGGAATCCTCCCCACTGAACTACTGTAATCTGACAGCAGCTCCTCTGCTCTCAGAAAATACAAATTTTCCAACATTCCCATTTGAGGGTAGCTGATCACTAGGTTGATTCCTCTTGAACGGAAACGGCCATAGGTGGAACGGTATTTGGCCGGTATTTTGACCAGCCAAATTTTGATCCATCAATGGCAAGGATCCATCAATGGTTCTTTGTTCACATGTTCATTAGGTTTTACCAGGTGGACATTTAAGGCCTTATCTCGTGCCATCTTAGGTTGTAAGGTTTTTCAGGTGGCTCTGTAAGCTTTACTGAGCCCTCTGTGTTACTTGTGGGCCTGTTAGCATTTTGGTTGCTGTGTTGTCCATTCCTCAGTTGGACTGCTGTTGGACATCCCAGTGTCTTAGAATTACTTCTACCCTGTGTTCCTTAATGAACAATTAAGAAAACAGGATTTTTGATTTACTGTAAAATCCTTTTCTTGTGGTTCATTATAAGACACAGGACTTTTTTTTATTTTTTTTTTTAATGCTCTACCCCTAATATTGCTTTTCCACAAAACATGAGCTTGATGGAAATTGGAAGAGTTTTGCCTGTTTTACAGCTTTGCTTGCTAGTGTCCAATCTCCTGTAAGCAGCAACATAACCCAATGGGGTTTAATGACTAAATTAAAATAGACTGTTCACTTTGCAAGTGCATTTTCCCAAGAGCTTAGTGGATGTGGCGAAATTTCACTTTCCAAAAAGAATACCCAATCACATGCCAAGAAATTTAAAAAAAAAAAAAAAAAAAAAAAAAAAAAAACACTTTTGCAGGCACGTGATTGCATGATGGAAGTCGGCAAAGTTTCACCTCATTCACTAAGCTCCGTGGAAAATTTTCTTGCAAAGTTCAAAATTCTTTGGTCACTTGTAGAGACCTCAGCTATCTGAAAACTTTGAGCATGTCGAGTAGGGTGTCCCTTGCTGTGCGATGTAGTTTCACCCAATGGCCCTATGTCACTACTCTGCTTTTAACTATGTAGTGGACCGTGAATAGAACAGAGACCAGTAGGGTACATGCTATCCAGCACAACCAAGTGTTAGATAACAGCAGTTCTGGTAGATCTATACGTGCACAAAGAGTTTACTCAGAACAAACGTAAGTATTTAGCATCTCCTTTTGATTGTGCTAATGACAGGGAAAAACACATGTAAGCTGCTGTTGTATACCCCCTTAGAAAAATAGCCCGGCTGTCTATGGTTTCATTATTTTCTCAGTCACTGATCCCACACACAAATAAGCAGCTTCCTAATATAAGTGTTCTGGTTCAGTGCATTTCAGAAATAAAGGTCAGTAATGGCTGCCTACTGAACACCCTCACACAGGTTTCCTTTAGGCCTGTCAGGAATAAATGAAAGGTACATTGGGGACTTACCCACATTATTTAACCATCTGTTTAATCTGTTGAGGATTGGTTAGATGTATGTTTTGATATTTATATAAAAAAGGCAAGTCTTAGAAAAAAAATTAACAAAAAGCGATGAATTTGAGACTGTAGACAAACATGAAACCTTTTTCTGCAATGAAAATGATGATTATGTCCCCAGGTTACCTGTTTTGTATACTCTGGGCTTTCCCACTGTTTTAATGGCTTTTTCCATTTATAGCCAGCTGCCTTTGGTGATATTAGAAAATGGGAGGAATCAGAGCAAACATTCACCCAAGATTGGGATTCTAGTTATTAATCCATGCGTGTGGGCTACATTACCGATATGCTTCTTCAGTTTGCCTCCGTCCCTATAACACGTAATCATGTTGTTCCTACTTTGCCTTTGTAATAGAGAATAGATAAAAATGGTGGTGGGCAATTCAGCCATCCATTCAACCTCTACCCATAACTAAACTATCTGTTTTGAGTTAACTCCTATACAAAATATAAGCTGCTTTCTAGAGCCAACTCCAGTGACCTGGAAATAGCTTATTGGTTTGTGTCTTTTGCCTTCACTATAATGCCTTGTTCAAGGTCTCTGGGCTCTTATGATTGCCATAAATTCCTATAAACTCAATATAAAAACACATTTGATCCCTTAGTTATCCTAGTTATTTCTATCAAATAGCTGTGATAAATTGTTACAAACATGACATGACAATATTCTAAAGAAAGCACCAGATCCATAGATGATAGAGGAAATTGATGACGTTTATTGAGATTAAGTGCCTAATATATGTATTATGCTTCTTCCCTCCAGCTGATTGGAATGTTGCTGGCATGCTGTCTTTCCCGGTTCATCACTGCAAATCAGTACGAGATGGTGTAACATGGTAAATTTGGATTTGTGCTTTTATCAAGACGCCTCTTGCTTCCATTGCTACCTGCAGCCTTATTTCCCATGTCCACTCTTTCATCTGACTTCTTCTATCTTGATGGCATTACATGTTCATTACATGGTTACAGGTCTGTAAGGTTTCATAAGCCAGTTGCCAGCAGGAACAATGAAAGAATGGCCAACTATGCCAGGGATCTCCAAACGAAGGGCTAGTTTACTTCCCTTCAAACTTTAGGGGGACTGGACCAGGGCCAGTGGGAGTAGAAAATGCTGTGGCATCTGTGGGAGTAAAGAATGCCATAGGCTTGGTGGTTAGTGGGAGTAAAAAATGACTTCATTGGTGTCAGTGGGAGGAACAGTGCCCCATCGTGAGAGACATGGTTTCCCATCTCTGGTGTCAGTTGGAGGAATGGTATCCCATTGTTGGTGTCAGTGGGATGAGTAGTGCTCCATCTTTGTTGTCAGTGGACGGAATAATGCCCCAAAGGCCGGATAACAGCAAACAAAGGGTCACATCTGGCCTGTGTGCTACTGTTTGGAGAGCCCTGAACTATACTATTCAAGGCTGTACTCCTGCATCATTGCAGAGAAAATTTTTGCTGCATATTGAGTGCTGCCCCATACACAGATAGCCACTAAAAGACAATTAACATATTTTTATTTCTAATAAAATAAATACAGTGCAGCAAGCAAGATTTTTTTTTAGGCCCCTTTTACACTGACGGGTCTGCCTATCCGTTTTTCAGGTGAACCCAATCGGATCATCCATAGACGTGTATGGACTGGCGTCAGCGTACAAGTGTCCGATCTGATCCTGTACACCAAAAACAGATGGTTGGGGATGCCTTCCCCATCCGTCCCAAAGATCGATCAGATGACAGTCAGGTGGAAATGGACAGGCAGTTTCCATCTGGCTCCCCATAGAAGACAGTGGGCTGTGTCTGTGTCCGCTCTGCAGCAGCGGACAGGACACATACCTGTCATCCGCCTGCTCAGGGGTGCATATACAGACAGATTTTACTGTAGTGGGTTTAGTAACACTTTAAATCCAGCTTTTCCTGTGTTGCTTTCTTGGGCTCCGTGCACACTATTGTTTTTTTTTAAGCTGCTAGAAGCTGTTGTTGGTGTTTTTTTCTGCTCCTAGAAGCTAAATAGTGTTGTTCTACAGGGTTGGTTTAATAAAGACAAATAGAATATGCACTTTGCAAAGTGCAGTTGCTGTAGAGCTTAGTAAATGAGGTGAAGCTTCCCTTTGCCAAGAATACCCAATCACATGAAAGGAAAATTGAAAAAAAAAAAAAACAGCATTTTTGTTTGCACATCATTGGATGATGAAAGTCAGCAGAGCTTCTGCTCATTTACTAAGCTCTTGTGCAACTGCACTTGCAGAGTGCAATATCAGTTTGCAAAGTGCACAAAACGCTAGTGTACATGGAGCCTTAATGTGTATCTGAAGCCAAAACTTTCTTTTTATTTGGGTGAACATTTTCACCAGAGGAGAAATCTAAAGTTTTACAGTTTTTACCAGAACAGGAGGTGAGGGAACATTTTCCAATTGGGATCTTTGTTTTAGTGGATATTTCCTCTTCCTCTTTCTTTCCTATTGTGTTTTTGACAGTAAGTTTCATCAAGCAGGACAAAAAAAAAAGCCCACAGGGATTTTAACTACTCCCTACTCATTCTAAAAAAACTGTTGTCTTTAGATATACTACTTTGCACTTTTTTGTGCTTTTTATGATATACAACTTCTACCATTCATGAGGTTGGAATGCCATATGCCATTTGGAAAATAATCAATACACAAAGTAGTGCGTTTGTGAGAACAGACAGCATGGGTTTCATTGTAAATATTCTAGTACGCTTTACTTGCATACCTAATGTTTTATTTATTTATTTATTTTCTCTAGGGGCCAGCAGTTTCTACATCAGGAGCTGACGGAATTGTGAAGGATTTTACAGAATGTTAGAGCACACAACACATCCACCAACCACTCTGTGTTCCCATTTTGTAGTGTAACCATCTGTTCCAGTACAGCTGTGCCATGAAGAGTAGCCTCTGTAGTGTCTAACTGCAAACTTCCTCCTGGGGAAGGCTTTTCGTATGATGGCACGCTATTATGTGTGTTCTTTAGTCATACTGTAGTTGTAAAGTTCCTATGATAATCCATTAACTGCCTCGACCTGGCTGTGCATGCAGTGGCTGATACAAAGGGACAACAAAGTCCTTACCAATGGTTTATTAAATGTTTCACACATTTATATAAATCAGTACATGGAAATCAAATATAGCGTATCTAATCTTTTATATATATATATTTATTTACAAGGCATACTTATTTTTTTTATTTTGCCGTATACCACATACAGATAAAACAATAAGAAGAATAAATCTGTGATATGATAATACTTGAAGAGTAATGTTGAAATATGTTGTGCTTTGCATAGGATTCAAGGGGCCCCCACGAGGGCCGCAGTCTGGATCCTAACTCTGTGCTGTATGCCTAATGCTTATGATCTTTGTCTAGTGAATTTTTTTGCTTCAGATTCCAAGAACGTGTTTCACTGTTACTAAGCTGTTGTTGCTTACTGTGAAGGCAGTATAATGATGCTTTTTTAAATTATCTTTAGTGTACAACTAAACTTATTCGTGCTGTCATGCCTATTTTTTCCTCTCCTCCTTGCTAATGTTCCCTGCTTTCTTTTTTCCCCCATGATGCTTTGGAAGTGCACCAACCAAATGTTATATTCAGAAAAGGATTGAAGATTAGGGAAGAAGAGAAGTCGAAAAATGTTCAAACATTTTTAAACAGAAATAAATTAAAACTGATTTTTTATAATGTCTCCATCTAGCATGCTGAGAATAAAATGCTTTGATATTGTGAGCATTTGTGATATACATATTAATAAACTGAACTACGACAGATATTGGATTTTGAGTATGATGTTGGCTATCACTCTGTTTCCAGTTTTTTTTGCATTGTGTTTTTTACTATGTGCCTTTTGGATCAGTGGAATTGATTTACAAAAGAAGTAGCGACTGTTCGCTTAACAAACTGAATTTTCACGGGGTTTAGAAAAAAAAAAAAAGCTGGCTTCTTTATACAACCCCTCATCTATCCAGCATGCCGCAGTTTTAGCTGGTATCCTAGTTGGATGCCTTTTCCTCAGTTCTGCTGAATAAAGCCAAACTATTTTTGCTACCCTTTGCATCCCCTGGGGGAAGTCCACCTTTGACTCCTGCTGTAGATGCCCCTTGTTGGGGATAAGGTACATCTGGGGGATTTTTTGGACCCTATTGTCTTCTTCTGTGGTTATACCACAGCCTTGTGAGAAGTTCCCAGATACTTTCCCTTCTTTTACCCTTATTCCAGTTAATGTGCTTAGGAGTGCAATTAATTTCATTCTCCTTGCTTCAAGGCTGTGGATATTTTACTGGACTGGGGTGAGTCAGTAGATTCTTGAAAACCATGTTCTGTGCTTAGGATTATATAGGTTCTGGAGAGTTCTTCTTTCAGATCCCAGAAGCACTTCTGGTTGCTAAGTGAATGGGTTTTCTCCATCTTCCTTTTTTCTGGTGCCCCTTTCAAGAGCCTGGGGTCATGGTTTACCCTTTATCCCGGCCTACCTTTTATGGATGCGATCATGGAAGTCCCTCAGTGTATAAAAGCTGCCAGTCCAATATTCATATTCTCTACATTTACACCATTGTCAAAGTAATGCATGACAATGATGATATAAAAATAACATCCCAGGATTCCAGCACCTCCTTTCCACCTTCTTATGTATCCCCTTGGTTGTTGGCAGTCTCTTTTGTGTTGCAGGGGACTTCATTTCACCTAGTGAGGCTCAGAGTTGGTTCTCTTAGTAGTCCCAAGTTGTAAACAGGCCCCACTCCCCCTGTCACTGGTTGTTACCTTTTTAGTTGGACTGCTATTGGATGTCCTAAGCATAACTCAACCTCTGTGTTCCTTAATGCATACAAAATAAAATAACATTTTGTACTGCCTAAAATATTTTTCTTGGAGTCCACTGACATACTCCGGTCCCATATTTCTGTGTTTTTGCTCTTGCAAAAGTCTTCTGTCAGGCATTGCCAAGGGATGTCAATAATCCCTTTATCCCTGGCTACAGCCCAAGTGGGATATTCATTGAAATAAAAGTCTTCTTGGATCTGTGATGATGGCAGAAACTGCCAAGCATCTTTTGCAGTCTCTTCCCCAGTCTACAGGTTGGGACCGGGGGCAGAGATTGCAAAGGACACTTGAAAGATTCTGCTACCCCAGTCTCCACATTAATGTAAAAAAAAATGTAAGGGAAAAAAGTTACTAAGCATGTTTCCGCCTGCTGTGCCTTGGCAAGGAGAGGAGTGGGGCTGAGCAGTCACATGACCATGAAGTCAAATATTAAGAAAAATATTTTTTAATTGACTAGATGTTTTGCTTTGTGTCTAGTAAAGGTTACTTTGTGTTATAAGAAAGTAAACATAGACCTCCATAGTGTAAAAAAAAAAAAGTTACTTAACTCAAGTTAGAGTGGGTTCACGATCTCCATAGGCAGCGCGAGGACCCAGGCTTACTGTACAGCAATTGCAGGATATCGGGCATAAAATTTCTTCTGTCAAAGATCTTCCTTGGTGTTAAGTCATCTTAGACTCCCCCTAATCCGTTTCTGTTGCCTTCCATTTAGAAAGCGTAGATAGCCAATCCCATATGAGTGTGGTCCCTCTACCTTATTACACTGGCCAATTATATAGGTGATGCATTCTCCAATTCGACCTAAAGATGGCACTGTTGTATCATACATACCATAGGTCATATATGTTAGAAGGTCAAACTATTGGTAACCATGGCTACAGAACAATCAGAACAATGGCCAGCTGTCAACTGAAATACAATGGTATTCTATGTTACCATTGTATCCAGCAGCATTTGTTTGAAAATCATCTCCTCAAACTCCAAGAAACTTGATGCCTGTCTCCAAGACAGTCTGAG